TAAAAAAGCCAAAGTTGTCAAAGGAGATTTTTCTACAAAATATACTTTTTCTTTTAGATCCCAAACATCGACAACAGGCTCGCAACCATTGAGTGGAGGAGCATTCATTCGACAAATTCAAGAGTAAGTGATTTGACAATTTATTAATTTTTACTATAATTTGGTTGTAATAATTAATAAATTGTCAAATCACTTATTAACATAGTTTTTCCCTTGTTTTTTATTTCCAGGATTATTCTGAATTTGTTGAAAACCAATTACAAGATTCAAGCCCTACATCCATCAGTGATTCAGTACTTCCTGAATCAAATTTGGAAGATTTGTTGAGGAAAATTGCTTCGGATTCCCCTCTAAGAGAATCCAAAGAAGAGGTCCACCATGGTTTGCCATCTGAAATCTCCTATTCATATGAGTCACCTATTAATATTTTTCAATCATGTAAGTTGACTGATGAGGAGGAAGAAATGGTGAGGTGGGCCTTCTTATTCGATTGTCCAAATTGGGATGATTGGGGGGATATTGTATACGACGATGGATTCTTGTTTCTATACAAGTATGATATCCAAACATTAAGCTTTGGAAATGATGTATCGAACATGGAAGTGGATATGTTCGGTGCATATCTCAATCGATCCGAGTATGCAATATCTAAGAATGAGAAGAAACCAATGAAGAAATTCTGCATTTCCTCGAATATATGTGTAAGTCCTTATATTTTATGTCGATGCTGAATTTATTAGTATAATATATTGTGCACTTAATTTGAATTTGCTAATTTAGTTAACGTTTCAATGTCGGTTTAATCATTTGCTAACTATTATTACTTTTTTTTTTTAGTTAATGGTTTCTCTTGAGCTTAGAAATAAATCCCGTGAAAAGACGGAGGAAGAGGTATTGGATGAGTGGAAAGGTCTTTTCCAGCAATCATATCTCGGTGATGATTGGATTGAATCCCTGAAAGCTGAAAATGTAAGTATTTTAATTTTTAGTTCATAATCATATTGACTTCTTATTTGATGTATGTTAAATATATTGCTATAATATGTTAACCATAATATTTTGATATCATATTTGGTAATATTTGAAATATGTTGAATATATTGCAATAATAGGTTAGACATAATATTTTGATATCATATGCGGCATATATTGCAATAATATGTTAACCATAATATTTTGATATCATATTGGATAATATTTTGAATATGTTGAATATATTGCAATAATAGGTTAGATATAATATTTTGATATCATATGCTGAAAATATTGCAATAATATGTTAAGTATAATATTTTGATTGCTGTAATAACTTACTCATTATGACCGATTAGACTACTTAACTATTTGACTTATAATTTCTCTAATGTTTGATTGCAGTATTTTTTCCTATTCTGCCGCTCAGGACATTGGGCTTTGTTCTCTGTTTCCATTGTGCATCGGAAGATATATTATTTCAACAGTTTGAAAGCTTCGAATGCATGGAAAAATGACTCCATAATATTCAATAGTTTGTTTAAATATTTTTGAACTGCTGCAAATATGTTATCTCCAGATGCACGTTGGGGTGGAGATTTTCCGTTCGAGTTACCCTACCAAGTTGAACAACCAGATCTCCATAGTTGTGGAATATTTTCCATGTTCTACATGGAGTATTGGCCTCGTGATTTGTCCGGAGTTTTCCAACAAATTGGAAAATTAGAGGTATTGGATTCGAAGAGGAAAAAAATTTGTGCGCAGATTCTTCTTCAACCGGAAAATCAAAATCTTGATATCATAAGAGAGAAGGCCAAGGTTGTTGCTGCTCAACAAACACGAAATACGGGTGAACTCAGGACGAAATTTAAGTATGATTTCAGAAAGAAATCATAAACAAGTGTCTGTGAGGGTAGGTTAGGGGCAGGGGAAATTAGAAAAATGACATATTCTTTCTAATTTAGCGATCACAACTGACTCTAATAGTCTCTGTTGCATCTTGTATTTGTTTCGCGGAGGATGAATCTAATAAACTTATTATTTCATATCGCGGAGGATGAATCTAATAAACTTATTGTTAATTTTTTATCATCAGAAATATTGAATGGATATTTTGTCCCTTTGAGACACATTCTCTTTTGCGTCAGTAGAAATCTTCACAAGTGGTGCGACTATATAAGTTACATTACGCGAACTATACTAAGATATATTAGAAATTAAAAATCCTTGGTATTCCCATGTCCACTGTACACTTGAAAAATATAATTTACTTACTATAATCTATTTTCGTACATTCGTATTAATTTGTTACTTTTTTTTTATTTCACATTTTTTAAATAGTAAGTTAATTTATTCTTCAATTAATTCCTTACTAGCCATTGAAATAAAATGCTACCTGCAGTATATAAAAGATATATCCTTTCTAGAATATGCCACAATAAATTAATTGTATTTATTTTATTACTTCTAGTTTTCAAATTTGAAAATAATATTTAATTTTTTTTTTCATCTTTATCCATTTTAAGCGTATAAATATTTATTGATATTTTAAAAATATAAATAATATAAATAGTTGTGCCATTTTTTTTTTAAGTTATGAAAGAATATTGTTTGATATGTTAAATTATATTTGATACAAAGAAATGAGGATAAAAAATAAAAGTATTTTTATTTATTTTTGTTTGTCTAGGTTGGGATTGAAATTTGACAAATGAATTATATTTGGATTCCTAAAATAAAAATTAAGAAAGGCTATAGTGTGCATTTATTTGTTTATTATTTAACTTTCATAATTTTCTTTTAAAATATAGGCTAAATTGCACAAAATTTGGTTTCATAAAATTGCACCAAATTCCCTATACTTCTAAAACTGCGTCAAACTCTCTCGTGTTTTCATAAACTTTGCGTCTAACCCCCTCAACGGTCCTTATTTAACGGTATTTGACCTAAATGCGCTCAAAACACGAATAAATTTTAGAATCTCAATTTCTAAACCCCTAAAGTTACAAATAAATTTATTTTTTATATATTTAGCCTAAAAAATAGTAAAAATAAACTCTTAAAATTTGAGAAAAATAACTATAATTGAGTATATTTACTATTTTTTTTAGGGTAAATATAAAAAAAATAAATATATTTGTAATTTTAGGGATTTAGAAATTGAAATTCTAAAATATATTCGCAGTTTGAGCACATTTAGGTCAAATACCGTTAAATAAGGACCGCTGAAGGGGTTAGACGCAAAGTTTATGAAACCACGAGGGAGTTTGACGCAGTTTTAGAAATCTGAGAGATTTGGTGCAATTTCATGAAACTACGGGTGCATTTTGTGCAATTTAGCCTAAAATATATTATCTCAATATCATATCAATATATTTAAATTATTATTCAATAAAAAATTACTAAAAAAATACAATAATATTTTTTAATAATTCTTGCTTCAGTAAAACCCCGTCTTATCTAATTCATCATTTTCTATTAATAGATTTATTTTTTCTTTTTTAGTCGCAATACACCGTCCCTCTAAATCAATCCATTCTTATCGTTGTAATTTTATTTTTTATATTTTTTGATTGATTTTTATTTTTTATTTTTCTCAAACTCTATTTTTTATATCACTTATCTGTATTTTTTTTTCTCTCTACCAAGCACACCCTAAATGTCTATTTAATAAAATAATAACAATAAATTCTTTAATATTATTTTGATAAATAAACGATGGCTTTAATATTAATTTTAATGCTAATTTGGATTGATTATTAATTATATATTTTCACTTACTATATATTTCCTCCTTCCCTGTCAAAGATGACCCTTTAGTTAAGATCTTAGTAATTTATTAATAATAAATTGTGATATTATTTTTATTATTTTTTTTTTATATGAGTGGTGTTTTTATATTTTAAATTTCTTTAGTATAATAAAATATATATAATATGTATATCATTTTGTAGAAAATAAAATTTTATAGAATACAAATAAATAAATAAAAAATCTATTTATTTATAATTAGCTTAAAACTAATTTTATAAAAAAATAAATTGTTGTAAATATTGATAAAAATATTTGTTCAATGAGGAAATAGATATAAATAAAGGGAATTTGAGTGTGTCTATGTGTAAAATGTTGAAAATTTAATTAAATTGATTTATATTTGTTAAATATGTTTAAGATGAATAAGTTTACTAAAAGTAGAAAATGGTTATCTTCAATAGGACGGACGAAAAAAGAAAAAGTTCCATCTGTCGCGAGGCGGAAGGAGTACATGATAACGTTATGGTTGCTTTTAGGGTCCTGATGTTATAAAGCCATCAGCACTCTACTTATTTTTCTATAGCCATAGGATCGAATTTAATGATTGATCCAATGGATATTAATCAACGAGGTTAATCTTATAAAATCAAATTTCACCAAATGTTGGTCTGCACCTTGTTCACAATGGAAGACCATGTATGTTTGGTTTACATCCAAGCATTGTGCCGTATATTGGAATGAACGCTGGTATTGTTCTTGGAACATTCAAAAGATGTTTCGAGTGTAGGACTGCGCAACATATTTCATAAGTGGATTGTAAAGGTAAGTTGCATGCAATTGTCTATCTTTCGCCATATCCCTTAGATTCTAATACTCATTCGAAATGGCTAACGAATTCAACACTGTTATCATCGGACCCTAGGAACCTAGGGTAATTAAAAGAGAACACATGAATGAGTGTCTAATTTCATTTATTATTAATGAGACTTACGCAAAATACCGGAGTATTGCATATTACATCATGTCGCGTGGCCTTTTGCCTCACATAATTAATTTTTGAATTTTGGTTCGCGTAAGATTTAAATATGAGGCCCAAAAATAATCCGAAGACCAATACTCAATAATAGGCCTAATTTATGCGGCCTAACTCATCCAAACCCAATCTAATGCAAATCTGAGTTATGACCGTCCGATCAAGGGATTTAATCTTGGCCGTTGGTTCTAATCCAACCCTAAGTATATATATGTATAAGTTTGTGTTTGTGTGTAGGCGCAGCCGTTCCAATTGACCTCTCACTTCCATTTCTTCTTCCCTCTCGTTGGTATTTTCCTCCATTGTTCTATTTCTCCCTCAATTTTCCTCTATGTCGTGTATGTTGATTAGTTCTTGGCCTTTTATCTTGTGAGGCTTTAGAACCTCTGGTCGATTATGTGGTGGAAATTACGAAATCAAAGAAAACCACACAAAAACATAACAATTTAATGATCCAGTTCGATCAGAATGATCTACGTCTGGGGATGTTCAAGTCAGGTATTTATACTAGTAATTTCAGGTGTTAAATACATAAAGAATGGGTATTGTTCAAGTCAGGTATTTATACTAGTAATTTCAGGTGTTAAATACATAAAGAATGGGTATTGTCCAATATAAATTGAGTAAAATTGGATTTACTTCAAAAGTTGTATATCCATGTTTATGAGGGGATAGGGACGGTGAGTTGTTTGGTTGCATCTTTTTGGCCTCTGTTTGAGTTTGATTCTTTGTATTTGGGTGATTTAGGGGTTTTTGGAGATTCAAATTCAAAGTTTGAAGATCTGTTGAGGGAAATTGTTTCAGCTTCCCCCGTAAAAGCAACTGAAAAAGAGAATATTGTTCGAGGAGAAGTAATTGAACCCATATCTAAAAAAGCCAAACTTGTAAAGGAAGAGTTTTCAACAAAATATATTTTTTCCTTTGGATCCCAAAAATGGAAAGCAAGCTCGCAATCATTCAATCCAAGCGACATTTCTTCGACAAATTCAAGAGTAATGATTTTGCAATTCATTAATTATTATAGTTATTATTATTGTTTTCACCCTTTTAATCCATATATATATATAACATTGTTCTTTATTCCCAGAAATATTCTGAATTTGTTGAAAAACAATCACAAGATTCAAACCCGACATCCACCATTGATTCAGTTCCTGAATCAAATTTGGAAGATTTGTTGAGGAAAACTGTTTCAGATTCCTCTGTAAGAGAATCCGAAGAAGAGGTCCGCCGTGGTTTGCCATTTGAAATCTCCTCTTCATCGTATGAGTCACTGATTGATATTTTTCAATCATGTAAGTTAACGGATGAAGAGGAAGAAACGATGAGGTGGACCTTTTTATTCGATTGTCCAAATGGAGATGATTGGGGGGATATTGTATACAACGATGGATACTTGTTTCTATACAAGTATGATATCCAAACATTAAGCTTTGGATATGATGTATCGAACATGGTTTTGGATATGTTCAGTACATATCTCAATCGATCCGAGTATGCAATACCTAAGAATGAGAAGAAACCAATGAAGAAATTCTGCATTTCCTCGAATATATGCGTAAGTCTTTATATTTTATGTCGATCCTGAATTTATTAGTATAATATATTGTGCACTTAATTTGAATTTGCTGATTCAATTAATGTTTCAATGTTGGTTTAATCATATGATAACTATTATTACTCTGTTTTTTTTAGTTCATGGTTTCTGTTGAACTTAGAAATAAATCCCGTGAAAAGACGGAGGAAGAGGTATTGGATTAGTGGAAAAGTCTTTTCTAGCAATCATATCTCGGTGAAGATTGGATTGAATACTAAAAGCCGAAAATGTAAGTATTTTAATTTTATTCATAATCATATTGACTTATTATTTTATATATACTAAATATATTGCTATAATATGTTAACCATGATATTTTGATATCATGTTGGGTATTATTTGAAATATGTTGAATATATATTGCAATAATAAGTTAAAAATAATATTTTGATATCATGATTATTATTTCAAATATGCTGAATATATAGCAATAATTTGTTGAATATATACTCTAGGTTCCCAGGGTGTACGTGGGTGAGAATAAAACATGTTGAATTCCTGGGTCAATGTAAGACACTCTCGGTCTCTGTGGCTTGCACGTCAGGGTATTACAGTTGATATCATAACCAATCTGCGACAACCCATAGTGGATTGAATAGGCTATTCAACTTAACAATGTGCACATTCTTTTTCGAAAGTTAGAATAAAGCGCGCTGAAAGGACTCATATTGACATTTGGAGCTGCCGACACACTTGGTCTGTGTGGCTTAGGGGTCGGGTTGTTATAATATTCAAATATTTTGATGATTTTTGTATAGAAATACAAATAATAGACATATTTTGCAAGGGAAAATATGTAAATTCTTAGTCTTTTGGATCATACAAGTAATATATATAATGATAATATATGAAAAAACATGTAAATTCTTCCTTCTTTGATTGTAGTTTTAAAATAAAATTTTATTGGAATTTTTATTTAAATAGTATTTTGATATAATATTTTGTTAGAAAAAATAGTATAATTTTTAGTGAAACCGTATGTAGTAAATATTATTGATTTCAATTTGAAATTCGAACAAAATACAATCATTTATCATTATTCATGTGATCTTTTTTAAGGGTGTCCTTGTTTGGAGTTTAAATTTTGAGTTTTGATTTTAAATAATAAAATTTAAAATTTAAAAATTATTCTATATAATATAAATAGATTTTGATATAATATTTTAAATACAAATTAATTTATAGTATAATATAAACAAATAAATATTTAATTTAATATTTTAAAAAAAAATTGAAAGAATAGCATAAATCCTCCTTAAGTCCCCAACACACACCATTTCCTCAAATTATTTTTAGTTCATATATTTTTTTAAAAAATAAATTATTATTATTATTACTTTACACAAACACCATATGCAATCTATTATATAAATACTCTTTTTGTTTCATGTTAATGGACATATTTTCTATTTTTGTCTTTTATAACAATTGATACTTTTCTATTTTTGGCGAATTTTACTTAATTAACTACATAATATGTACTGTCATGCATCAATGCATCACTCAGCACCTACTCAATACTCTTTTATTTCTATCTCTCTTAAAAAATATATATATATATTTTTATCTACATTTAAAATAACACTTCTTTTATAAAATTATTTTATATTAATTATAAATAAATAAACATATTTTTTATTTACTTGTATGATATGAAAGTTTATTCTCTACAAAATGATACCCACGTTGTATATATATTTTTTATTGCAATATAATTTCTAAAATATTTGATTACATATTCTAATTATTTTTAATCATATATATTAAATGTATTTTAAAACTATCTGATATAGAAAATAATAAAATAATATTATACCTGGCGGACACGTGGATTTTATTTATTTTTTATTTTTTAAATTTTTTTTAATTTATTTTTAATTTTATTTGCCTTTTTTAATTTTTTTATTTGGTCCAATTAAAAAAAATTAAAAAATAATAAATAAAATTTACATGTCCGCCAGATAGCGCTGACCTGGCGGGACACCTGGCGGACACGTGGATTCCGGCGAACCACGCGGACGTCTCCGGCGCCGGAGGACTAAAACAACGAAAATTTTCCACGTATGAGACTAGTTTACGTCAGGCTCCACTTACAAGACTAAAATGACAAAGGAGTCCAGTTACAGGACTAAAAAAAACAGTTTACACATAAATTTAATACAATAAAAAGCAAAAAAAAAAATCATGTTTCGAAAAGAAGAACAATCATATGTTTCAATAGAAGAAAAAATAAAAGATCCATTAGTTCAAAAGAAAATATTAGAAGTAGAAAATCTATTTAAAAAAAAAAAATTTGTGCAGATATTCCAAATGCATTTTCGGATAGAAAAAAACATATTATTAATCTCCCATATGAAAAAAATTTTATAGAAAAAATATTCCAACCAAAGCTAGAATAATTCAAAGTCTTTTAGATAAAAAAATCTGATTGGGCCTTCAAAGTCACCGCGGTCGTGCGCTGCTTTCTATATTCTATATTATGAATCATGCAGAAAAAGAACATGGTGTCTCAAGGTTAGTTATTAATTACAAACCCCTAAACAAAGCTCTTCAATGGATAAGATATCCTATTTCAAATAAAAGAGATTTATTAAATAAGTTATATAATGCAAAAATATTTTCAAAATTTGATTTAAAATCTTGATATTGGCAAATTCAAATAGCCGAAGAAGATAGGTATAAAACTGCTTTTACAGTCCCTTTTGGTCATTATGAATGGAATGTAATGCCTTTCGGATTAAAAAATGCTCATTCTAAATTTCAACACATAATGAATGATGTTTTCAACTCCTACTCCACTTTTACAATAAAATATATACACGATGTTCTAGTGTTTTCAAAAAAATATAGATCAACATTTTAAGCATTTACGAACATTTTTCAACATAATTAGATAAATAGTTTAGTGGTTTCATCCTCTAAAATGAAATTATTTCAGACTCCAATTCACTTCTTAGGTAATGAAATTCATATAGGAAGTATTAAACCAATAACTAGAGCCATAGAATTTGCAAATAAATTCTCTAATAAAATAAAAGAAAAAAACCAATTACAAAAATTTTTAGAATGTTTAAACTATGTAGTTGATTTCTTTCCAAATATGACACAAATTTTGTCAACCTTTATTTCAAAGATTAGAAACTAATCCTTTCCCATAGACTAATCAATACAATAAAACTATTAAAAGCAAAAGTTAAAGCCTACCATGTTTAGGTATTCCAAATCTTCAGACATTCATGATAGTGGAAACAGATGCATCTGATAGATTATGGAGGAATACTAAAAACAAAAAATAGAATCAAATTAACAGTCAGTTAGATTCCATTCATGGGTATGGCTTGGATCACAAAAGAGTTATTAACAATTAAAAAGGAGTTTTATCCATTGTCTTATGTATTTCCAAATTTAAGATGATTTATATTTTAAAATTTTTTTATTAAAAATTGACTATAAATCTGCAAAAGAAAATTTTACAAAAAGATGTTCAAAATCTTATTTCAAAACAAATTTTTGCTAAAGGCTAAGCTATCCTATCTCAATATAACAGCAACATTATATGAATATATAATCACACACATTAAAACAAAAAAGCACAACCAATATATTTAATATATATATAATAAAAAATATAAATCCTAAAATCCTTTAAAATCCCTAAAAGTAATATGTTGGCCGCATCAGTAAAAGTAATAATTATATTTTTGTATTTATTTTATAATTTTATTAAAGTAATAGCATCATATTTCATATAAATAAATAAACAACACACATTACAAATAAATAAATTGTATATATAAAGTAATAAAAGCACATACACATATTTCATTTAAAATTTCAATTACACTGATATAACCAAAATATCAACATTATATGGATAGAAAATCACACGTATTAAAACAAAACAAAAAAAAAAACACAACAAATATATTTAAATATATATATAATAAAAAATATAAATTCTAAAAATGTTAGAAGAAATTTGTTGGCTACGTTGTATTTTTTTAATATGTTAGGAAAATGTAATCGCATTTATAATTATTTAATAATTTTATTAAAACAATAATATCATAGTATATATAAATAGATAAATAGCACATAATACAAATAAATAAATTACATATATATATAAAATGCACACACACAAATTTTTATTAAAAACTTCAATTATACTAATATAATCAAAACAGTAACATTATTTGGATAAAAATCATATACATTAAAACAAAAAAGCACAAAAAGTATATTTAAATATATATATATATAATAAAAAATATATATAACCCTTAAAGTAATTTGTTAGTTGCACTATATTATTTCAATGTCAGTCAAAGCTCATCGTTATGTCTTTACAATTATTTAATAATTTTTTTTAAATAAAGTAATATATTTTATATAGATAAATAAATAACACACATTATAAAGTAATAAAAGCACGCTCACAAGTTTTTATATAAATTTTCAATTAAACTAATATAAACAAAAGAAAAACACTTTATCAGTAGAAAATCATACATATTAAAATAAAAGAACACAACAAATATATTAAAAAAATATATAATAAAAATATAAACAATAAAAACCCTAAAAGTGATGTGATTGTTGCACTTACTATTTATGTGCATCAGTAAAGATAATCATTATAATTTTATAATTATTAAATAAATTTATTAGATTAATAGCATCATATTCAATATAAATAGATTAATAGCACTTATTACAAATAAAGACCTCACATATAAAATGTAATTATGCACAACATATATTTATATATATATATATATCTATAATAAAAATTTAGAAACCCTACAAATCCTAAAATTAATTCCATTGTCTTTTCAAATTATGTCACTAAATGAAAATTATTATATTTCTATAATTATTTAACAATTTTATTAAATTAATAATATCATATTTGATAAAAATAGATAAATATCACTCATTAAAAATAAATAAATCACATATATAATATAATAACAACACTCACATATTTTTTATTATTAACTTTTCTATTTACATCAATCTACACAAAAAAGTACGATTTCATACTTAAAAAATCACACAAATAAAATTAAAAAGCACAATAGAGATGATAAATATAATTAAATATATATATATATATAAGTATTCATCTAATCATAAAAAAATAGACTTTAGAAACAATAATTATTAAAAATATAACTGTTATATCATTTTTATTTTATTTTTACATAGTCAATAAAAAATTATCATTATATTTTTACATTAATATATTTTTATTACAATATAAATAGCAAATCTAATAAATAAAACATCACATAAATAATATATAAATAACACACATACACATTGACGTCATAGTTATTTTCTTTTTTCCTTTAATAGTTGTCTCATCACTCCGCAAAATTATAACTCTACTCCTATGGCCGTGGACCATCCGATGTAATAAATTTTCAACTTAAAGGTTCCAATAAAATCAATACGGTGCTGACTAAAATAATATCAGCACGGTATTCGCCACCTTCTTTAAATATATAATAATCAATTTTTTTATTTATTATTATCTATTATATATTTTCACTAATTAATTTAGCACAGCTGATCCAATTCAATCTAAACCCACTTATGAATGTAATCTCCAAATTTGGCATGCCTATAACTATACTTATTTTAAATTATCAAAAATAATTAAAATGGCCACATCATGGAGAAATATTCAAACAAGACAAAATAATTCAAAGAAACATCCGCGACCCTTTTGAAGCAAACAACACAAACAAATAATTATTCCCTAAATTATATAATATCCTATTATATTTTAGTAAAAATGTACAAAATACTTTATATTTTATTTATTGCGTATAACCCCTTGTGTTAATGTAAAATTTTTACGAAACATTCTCATTGTTCAAAATT